CCAGGAACGGGGCGGGCGCGGGAGGCCGGCCCCGCCCCCCCGGCCCCTCCCTTTTCGTCCCGTCCGCCTCAGCGGGCCCTCGGGGCAGGTGCTGGGGCTGCCTGCGCCCCTTGACTGTGGCTCCGGCAGGCCGGTGTGCTGCCCTGCCCGCCTGCTTTCCCAGAGTTTAAAGCTAGGAGACAACTTCAGCGGCCTTGTCCCATCCCCTCGTTCTACAGGTGGAGAAATACAATCAAGTGGAGAAGGATTCACCCAACGTCCTGAGGCCACTTGGGAGACCTAGCACAGCCTCCTGCCCCAGCGGCCACTGGCCCCTGTAACCGATACTACCCTCCACCTAGCTTCACCACGATCCTGTCTCAGGGACCTGGATGAGCAGCTCCTGCGTCCCCAGCCCCCAGGGTGCAGAGAGGAGTGAAGTGCCCTGGGGGGAGGGGCGAGGCAGTGACCCTGGTGGAGCCCTGCTCCCTTCTGAGAGAGAGATTATGGCTGTTGGACTTGAGAGAAAGTGGCTTTACTGTAGGGCTGGCATCCAGGAGTCCCAAGGGGGCATTTGGGTGATCCACAGAGCAGGCTCCTGCCCAAGGAAGCCCCAGAGTATTGCAGGGACCTCACTGCCTATGTGTACCTTCCACCCTTGAACAGCCCAAGCTGGACCTCTCAGGCATCCACTCTCTGAGCCAGGATGTTGGGTAAAGGGGACTGTATCGGTCTTCTGTTGCTGCTATAACAAACTGCCACCTGTTAGTGGCTTCCGACAGTTTCCAGTTAGTATCTCAGAGGTCAGTAGGTTAGAGGGCCAAGAGGGTGTCTCAGGGTTAAAATCACCCTTTTGGCACTACTGTGTCCTCTGAGGAAGACTTTGGCTGAAGTCAATGCCTTGTGGTTGTAGGGCTGGGGTGTCCTGTCCTTGCTGGCTTTCAGCCCGAAGCCAGACTTGGCTTCCGAGAGCTGCTGGCATTCCTTCTGCGGCTGGGCGGGAGCATCTTGCAGCCTGCCTCTCTCTGGACTGGCACGTGGGCCCTGCGTGTCAAAGCCAGCAAGGCACGTGGAGTCTCACGCTCTCGCAGATCCCGTCTCCCTCATGTCGTTGTTGACTAGCGCCTCTCCTTCCAGCTGTTCTTTATTTCGTTTTGTTTGGGGTCATTTCTCTATTGCGGTAAAACTGTACAAAAGCATACACCACTTCAGCCGTTTCTGCACGTGTAATTCAAGGACGCTGAGTGCAGTCCTCATGCTGGGCCCACGTTCTCACTGTTTCCACCCCGTAACCTCTCGAAATCTTTCGTTTCTGTTTCCTTATTTCATATAAGTGAGATCATATGGTGTTGTCCTGTTGTGCTGATTTGTTTCACACAGCAACATGTTTTCCAGCATTGTCCATGCTGTGGTGTGCAGTCAGGACTTCATTTCTCTTTATGACTAAGTACTATTCCATCCCGTGCGGCTGTGCCCTTTCCTCTATGCATCATGTGCCGATGGACACCTCGGTTGTTTCTACCCTTTGGCTACTGTGAAAAGTGCTGCCTGTGCACAGCAGGGTACCGGTTTGGGGTTGGGTCCCTTCCCTCACTTCTGAGTGTGTTCCGAGGACAGAGATTGGTGGGAGTTCTCCGCTTTTGTAAGGGCTCCTGTGATTGGACTGGGCCCACCACATCATCCAAGATCATCAGCCTCTCTGGGGGCCTATAACCCTAACCACATCCACCACATCCATGAAGGCCTTTGTGCTGATAATCTAACTTATTCACAGGTTCCTGGGATTCAGGGCTGGACAGCTTGGGAGATGGGGGAGGAGGGGCACTCTGCCTACCACAGGAACAGACTGATCCTCAAACTGAGTGTGGAACTATTTCCTTGCCAGTCTCCTTTGTGTCTATGATTTGGGGATGACAGTGAGCTGAATCTAGGTGCCCACACAAGGCCTCCCCACTGCCCTCCCCTTCCCATTTCCCTGTGAGGAGGGGGAGCACATTTCCCCTCTGGCACCCCATTTTCCCAGGAGTGGGGAGTACCCTCTCCTCATGTGAGCCCGCACAGCGGAAGCTGAAGCGGGGGGAACACACTCTGAGCCAATGCAATGGTAGGGCTTGACCCAGGGCCTCCAGCCTTGCATTTGTCCCTCATTTTCTTTCACCGTTTCTACACAGGTTGCCTCACCAGGTCCTCCTTGGGGGGCAAGTCTTCTGGGCTCCCAGGCTGCAGCCAAAACAGAATGGGGAGAGTGAAGAGAAAGGGCTGCAGGCTGCGTTTCCCCTTGGGGCCCAGCAGGGCTGGACCTGTTGGCCAAACCCTGACTGACATCAGATCTGGCTACACCCTGAGCCCACAGAGACTCAGTGAGGAGGGAGAAGAGGGCCCCTCCCCTCTGCAGCCTCTCCTTGGACCTGGCCTGGGCTGGTCCATGACCCGTCCCTGGATCACGGCCCACTCTCCTCCATGTGGTCTCCAGAGCTCACTCACACTGGGCTGTGTGATCTGAAGCCAGGCACACAGACAGAACAAGTCAGCACTAGGGCATCAGCTCAAAACAGAAAGAGTTTTCAGCAGCAAGTAGTTCCAACTGACTGCGGGAAACACATGCGAGGACCCCCTGGGATCACTTGGCATCCCAGCCAGAAAAGGCTTCAGAGACCGGCTGGGCCCGGGTAGCAACCTGCACCAGCTCCCTCAGAGACCCCTGAGTCTGCCAAAGTGCAGAAGCCCGGGCCCCACCCCAGACCTCCAGACCTAAGGGGTGAAGTCAAGTGCTTACATGCTGAAGAAGCTCAAGTAATTCTGACACAGTTCAAATTGACACTCACTTCCCGTCCTCATTTTACCCAGAGAAGGCTGAGGCCCTGACTTGCCCAAGGACACACGGCATTCTCGTGCAGGTCAGGACGGAGCCCTGCTCGTCCGCCTTCATCCAGCAGTGCATGTCAGGCAGGATGAGCCCTGGTAGCCCCAGAGTTCTGAAGTCATGCTACTTCTTCCCCAGTAAAGCCAAATCAGTTGCCATGGAGTCCATTCCAACACCTGAGGACCCCACATCGCCATGCATAGTGGAACTGTAGTCCATAAGGTTTTCAATAGCCACAACCTTATGGAAGTAGATGGCGAGAAAGCACCTTTCTTCCAAGGTGCTTCTAGGTGGGTACGAACTGCCACCCTTTAGGTCAGCAGGTGAGTGCTTGACCGTTTGTGGCCCCCAACCTTTTGTGCTACCTCTTAGGGAGATGACGCTCACACACCTCCTCTGCCGTATCTGATAAACATTCAGCGAACGTCCCACCCAGACGTGACTGTCAGCACATCCCTGCAGCCAGGGATGCGCCCCGCGGATGGCTGTTCTCCTTGTTACTGCCTTGTTTGTGTTTCCTGGAGAGACCATAATTAAAGCAAGCAGCGCACGCAGACTCGATGGTACCACTGCCCACACTAGCAGCCCCCGGCCCAGCTCCCTTTGTCTGTCTCTGACGCCCACTCTCTGGGGCTGATCACCTGGAATCTGTCAGAGCTGATGAAGTTTAGGAAGACGGGGGACAAAGCTGACCTCATTCTCCTGTCTCCAAACCGCCCCAACCCCTGCGTGTCTGCTGAGTAGTGTTCCCTCCTTTTTGGCTTCCCAGATGAGGACTCTCCAAGTCATTTTAGACACATCTTCCTTTACCTCCTGACAGTAAAACCAAATCCATTGCCCTTGAGTCGATTCTGACTCGTGGGACCATGGAGGACAGGGTAGAACTGCCCTAGAGGGTATTCAAGGCTGGAGATCTTTACAGAAGGAGACTGGCACAGCCTTCCCTTGCAGGGCGAGCAGCTGGTGGGTTCAAACCACAGACTCTTCAGTGAGCAGCCGAGCTCTTAACCCCTGTGCTGTCAGGGCTCCTGTCGTGCCCTGATCGATCCCACGTACCAGTAGTCCTACGCCTTCCTGTGCTGTAGTCTTAAATTCCCCTCTTCCGGTATCTTCATCCGTCCTTACAGCCATGGGCCAGATTACTGGAACACTTGTTCCTGGCCTGATTTGGGTTCATCCTGCACCCGAGGCTCCAGCTATTGTCCCCCAAGCCCCCCTTTACAACGTTGCTCCCTCCCGAGGAATCCAAAGTATTGCCAAATCCCCAAACTTCCAGTCCCTCTGCCTGGACTCCCAGGAGCACCTACTCACCCAAACTTAGTTCTCCCCGCTCACCATGGGCAAGCCCAGTTCAGCAGACGCTTTGCTGTCACCTGTGTGGCGTTTATAACCTGTTTACCAACTAGTGACTTTTATAATCTACTAACTTCACATCCTCCCAGAAAACCCACCGAGTTCAAGAAAGATAGACAGTTCTCAAGAAATCCTTGTTGTGTGGCTAATCTTGGCCAAAGACGTGTCATCGCATCAGCCAAAGCATGCTTCTTCCTGAGACACTTTGGTCCCCAAAGCAACAGTTGTGTTTCTTGAACTTAAGTCTGAGAGCCTGGTGAAGGGCTATTTTATACCTACCGTCAATGAGTCAATTGCAATTCATAGTGACCCTATAGGAGAGAGTAGAACTGCCTGCATAGAATTTTCAAGGCTATCAATCTTTACAAAAGCAGACTGCCATATCTTTCTCCCGCAGAACGGCTAGTGAGTTTGAACTGCTGATCTTTCAATAAGCAGCTGAATGCTTAACGAGTGCACCACCAGGGCTCCTGGAAGGGCTGTTCGCAGATCCCTGTAGTACAAACGGAGCTTAGCAGAGTAGCACCTGCTCTTGGATATCAGTCATTCCATAAAAGCAGACACACTACCGGGGGGTAGCAGCTGGGAGAAATTGGGAGACCAGTCCCTCCTGGCTTTTGAGTTTTTCCCACGGTATCCTTTAAAGCCAACACATTGCCTGCATCGGT